AATACATAGTACACAATAAGACCGTTATTGTTTAATATCACAAATATAACCATGACTACTCAAATCGGGGATAATTCCGCAACCTTATACATTTAATTTTTGATATCAAAAGCTTTTATTTCATAAACAAAAACCTGCATTACAAGATTGTTTTACCAGCGCAAGTACCCATGTGTTAATTATTTTTTTATTACTTTCGCGACGCATCAGTTGTTGTTGTCATCCTAATCAGTAGTTTCTAAGCTCTGGGAATTAAAAAGATAAGCATCAAAAGATCTGAATAAGAGTGAAATAATATCTCATAAATTGACAGAGGAAATTAAAACATTATCTACCTTGTGAAATGAAGTCAGGTCATTAAAGGACCCCCCCCCCAATCCCGAAACCGTCTCAGTAGCAGAACCAGGGTGAAATCCATTTGAAAGGTTGAAATGTCTTCCGGTTTCAAAGGCGGGCTGGGTGGTAGTGATCGTGTGACTTGAATTACTTTGCTAACGGTCCAGAGCTTGTGTGCTTGAATCCCATCACCACTACCATCAACCATCCCACTAGTCCATGTTAGCCTCTGTGCTGCCTTTGAATGTGCACACTTTATTCCCTAAGCATCAACTGTATCATTATGTATTCAATAGCAGAAAGGGACAGTTGGAAGACGTGCAGACACGGTTCCAGGGGAAAAGTTTATAATTTAGTTAAATAATTTATTTTACCATGTAACTATTTTCAATATTGGTTTGTTTATATTTTTAGGGGATTCTTGAGTGAGACCTCATCCACTGTGTATTGGGACTGTAAATGTCACCATAAGCGTTCGTGTTGTCCTCGGGTTCAGCTAACCAAAGATGATACTCTCAGCTTTTTCATATTTGATAGAAACCAAACAGTATTGCTTCATGGTCATCTTGTGGTAACGTTGGAGCTAATAGCCGCGTGAAAAACATTCAACGATTCGATCGCTAGTAATCAAAGGATGATTTAGAGAACCCATCTTCATTCTTCCCCCTTTTACTAGTGTGCATCATGAGCCCTGTGACAGGCTATACCCTCCCCCCTTCATGAAAATTGTTTGCTTCATCGGAATATATTCAATAAAAGAAAGTAACAGGAAGGGAAGAGTACGCAACAGTTTTTAAATAAACGAGAATGCAGAGTGTTTTCCTTTTCGCGGCCAATTTCGGCGGTTATTTGGTAACCTGGATTTGATGAGTCAACCTTGATCAGACACCAAGTTGGCTCGAGTGAACAAGACTTTTATTGGAAATTATAAACATCAATACTGTTAGCTGTTATACTTTCAGTAAAATGCTTTAAAGTTTGTCTTTAAAAGTTACCTTTACACGGCCATTCAGACACGTATTGTTTCCATTTTAAAGTCTAGTGCCTCTAAACAATCGAATGGGCTAAGCCAAGCTTGATACTCTGAAAGTCTAGTTTTGTTTATATATTTATTCACATTAAGCAATTAGCTAATTTCAATAATTCCTATCCAGCGTTTCATAATAAAAAATCAGACTTCGAGAAAACTATTAATTTCTATTTACTTTCATTTTTATTAGGCTCTCAGATTCCGTTCCACCAAGATAGGATGATCAAATCTGATTGTGAAGGAAATAAAGAAATGGATCCGCCGGACTCTCGGACAAATTTACTGTCACGCTATTTGGAAGAATTTGTTTTGTCCGTTCAGGCACCCCCCACAAATCTAAAATGGCCTGATTCCGGATCCGATTCCATGCTATCCCATTACGCTCATCCCAAACTTTGTCAGGCCCCTTGCTCGTCCAATTCGGACGAGTACCGGTCAATTCATAGTGTATCCTCTCCGGATGAGGTATTAGATTTATCAACCAGGAGTGAGTCTGAGACCTATTCAACAATCGGTAGAAATCAAATTTGTCCTTCGCCGGAAGATGACGCGCAGACAGAGAAACCTATCAGACTGTATGATCCCG